AGGCACTGAGTTTGAAGGTAGGCCTTGACATATATCCACAGGTACACCACAATTTGACTCAAATGATGTCAATTAGCCTATCAGAAGCTTCTAAAGCCATGACATAATTTTCTGGAATTGTCCAAGCTGTTTAAAGGCACAGTCAACTCAGTAAACTTCTGACCCACTGGAATTGTGATATAGTGAATTATAAGTGAAATAATCTATCTGTAAACAATTGTTGGAAAAATTACTTGTCTCAAGCACAAAGTAGATGTCCTAACCAACTTGCCAAAACTATAGTTTGTTAACAAGAAATTTGTGAAGTGGTTGAAAAACGTGTTTTATTGACTCCAACCTAAGTGTATGTAAACTTCCGACTTCAACTGTATTACAGCAATGGTACGTATGTTACAGCGATCCTACCCTACAAACAGGATAGCATAGAACAGTGCTATTCTACTCCAGGCCTTTAGGATCAAGGAATAGCTGATTTAGCTGCTTTAGGACGAGGTTAAGGAAAGATCAAGGCCACAATTCAATTAACAGAAAGAGGAGCTTCAACCAGAATAGTTATCAATAACTTCCAATGGTAAAGTATATGCTGAGGATATGGTGGCCCTACAACACAACAAACCAAGACCTGTGAATGAAGAAGAAAGAAACAAGAGGTCATCATCAGTCTGAGGAGAAGAAAATGGAGATCACTCAGGATCACTCAGGAAAACCAACTGGAGACGCTCCACTCTACAGGAACTGAGTAAAGCAGGGATGACCTGGCAAGAGGCAAAAGCCCTCGCACAGAAATGTGGGAGGTGGAGAGCCATAGGGACGCCCTAGCTTAGGACCCTGGAACACCTACCTTTGCAACTGGATCCTGGACTTCCTGACGGGCCAACCCCAGCTGGTGAGGATAGGTAACATCTCCTCCACCACGCTGACCCTCAACAAGGGGGCCCCACAGGGGTGTGTGCTTAGTCCCTTCCTGTGCTCCCTGTTCACCCACGGCTGTGTGGCCACTCACGACTCCAACACCATCATCAAGTTTGCTGACGACACAACGGTGGTAGGTCTGACCACTGACGACGATGAGGCAGCCTATAATGAGGAGGTCAGAGACTTGGCAGTGTGGTGCAAGGACAACAACCTTTCCCTCAATGTCAGCAAGACAAAGGATCTCAACGTGGACTACAGGAAACGGAGGGCCGAGCACGCCCCCATCCACATCAACAGGGCTGTAGTGGAGAGGGTCTTGCGCTTCAAGTTCCTCCGTGTCCACATCACCAAGGGATTAACAAGGTCCACACACACCAACATAGTCGTGAAGAAGGCCCATCAACGCCTCTTCCCACTCATGAGGCTGAAAATATTTGGCTTGGGGCCTCAGATCATCAAAAAGTTATACAGCTGCACCATTGAGAGCATCTTGACTGGCTGCATCACCGCTTGGTATGGCAACTGCTTAGCATCCGACCGCAAGGTGTTACAGACGGGAGTGCGTACGGCCCAGTACATCACTGGGGCCGAGCTCCCTGCCATCCAGGACCTCTATACCAGGCGCTGTCAGAGGAAGGCCCTAATAATGGTCAAAGACTCCAGCCACCCACGTCATAGACTGTTCTCTCTGCTACCGCATGGCAAGCAGTACTGATGCACTACGTCTGGAACCAACAGGACCCTGAACAGCTTCTACCCCCAAGCCGTAAGATTGCTAAATAGTTAACCAAATAGCTACCCAGACGATCTGTATTGATCCTGTTTGCAATCAGTCTTTTGACTCATCACATATGCTGCTGCTACTGTTTATCATCTAGCCTGTTTCCTAGTCACTTTACCCCTACCTATTTGTACATACCTACCTCAATTACCTAGTACCCCTGCACATCGACTCGGCACTGGTACCCTGTGTATATAGCCAAGTTATTGTTACTCATTGTGTATTTATTCCTTGTGTTATTATATTGTTTTTATTTTTTTTTAAATTTTTCATATTTGGGAAGGGCCTGTAAGTAAGCATTTCACTGTTAGTCTACACCTGTTGTTTACAAATCATGTGACAAATAAAATATATAATTTGAAGTTTAAAATGTCCTGCTTGCAGGAAAGTTCTCATGCAACAAGGTGAACAAATTAAGATCTTACATCTTTATGCTTGCTGGGCAACCAGGGTAGTGCAGTAAAGCTCAGTTTAGCAGTGTGAACAGGGTATAAGTGAAACTGCAGTGTGGTTATCTTGCATGAATTGTAAGAGGGAGTGTTAGTCCTTGAATAGAGACGGTACCATTTGGATATACAGTATGTACATGGGTAGAAAGGGTGCCCAGATGACCTCCAGGAAGCGGTATGGGCTATGGTGGTTTTTCATGATCTGTTTCACCTGTCTTTGTGTTTGTCTCCACCCTCCACCAGGTGTCTCCCATCTTCCCCCATTATCCCCTGTGTATTTATTCCTGCGTTTTCAGTTTGTCTGTTGCCAGTTTGTCTTGTCTCGTCAAGCCTACCAGCGTGTTTTTCCCTACTCCTGTTTTCTAGTCCTCCCGGTTCCGACCATTTCTGCCTGCCCTGACCCTGAGCCTGCCTGCCATACCATTCTGCCTGCCCTGACCCCGAGCCTGCCTGTTGTCCCGTACCTATCTGACTCTGACCTGGTTTACGAACCTCTAACTGTCCTCGACTTGCCCTTTGCACTCCTCCTGTGGTTTAATAAACTATTCTGTGTACAGGACCTTCCGTCTCCTGTGTCTGCATCTGGGTCATATCCTGAGTTGTGTTAGTACGAACTGGCTATGACTGACCCAGCAGACTCGGACCAGCTCAACAACGCTGTCTCCTCCCAAAGAGCCACCATTGGAAGACACAAGGAGTTACTTCAAAACCTTATTGAAGGACTCCAGAACTTGGCAGAATGCCACGACCCCGCTTTCAATGCATTGCTGGAGCAATTTCGCGGATATTCTACTAGGCAGCAAGCCTCTACATTAACCCCCCCAGACTCTCAGTAACCACTCTACCAGCGGCGCTTCTCCCCAGCCTATCCCGGCTTCCCGAGAACCCTGCTTACCTCCTCCGGAGCGCTACGCTGGAGATCCAGGAACCTGCCGAGAGTTTCTCTCCGAGTGTTCCCTCATCTTCGAGCTGCAGCCCTGTTCGTTTCCCTCGGATCGCTCGAAGATAGATCTTATAACGCTGATGTCCGGGAGGGCTCTCGCCTGGGCGACAGCGGTGTGAGAGCAACAGTCCATCGTTTGTCTCAGTCTGGAGGAGTTTTTGGTTGAGATTAGGAAGGTGTTCGATTCTCCATTGTCCGGGAGAGAGGCTGCTCGGAAGCCACTCCAACTGCGTCAAAACTCCTTTAGTGTGGCAGACTACGCAGTAGATTTTCGCACGTTGGCCACTGAGAGTGCCTGGAACCCGGAATTTATTTTCAACACATTCCTTCACGTATTATTGGAGGAGGTTAAAGACGAGCTCGCAGCCCAGGAGCTTCCACTGGACCTTGACTCCCTCATCGCCTTGACATTACAGATTGATGGGCGGCTACAGTAACGTAGGAGGGAGAGAAGGTCCATTCCCAGTCACACTCGCTCGTCCACTGAACCCACCTCGCCTTCGAGGAATCCCAGAAGTCCGGACGTCCACCTTACCGAGAGAATCCGATGTCACCCGAGTGCCCACGGGAATCACCGAGGGCGATCTACTCTCCTCCTCCAGAACCCAAGCTACTGGGAAAGGATAGATTGTCTCCGGATGAACGTTTACGCAGATTGAGCACCAGGAGCTGTCTGTATTGCGGGACTACAGGATATTTTATTTCCACCTGTCCATTAAAAAGACCAGGCTCATCAGTAGGTACGAGTACTCTGGTGAGCCATACGGGGATTTTTCAATCTCCCATTACTCGTACCCCTCTCCATTCATCCCTGTAGTGGGGTGACCAGGCCAAATCTCTCCGGGTGCTCATTGACTCTGGGGCTGACGAGAGCTTTATCGATGCTACCTTGGTGTCGGAGCTGGGAATCTCCACTCAACCCCTCTCCATTCCCATGGATGTCAGAGCGCTGGATGGGCGCTCTATTGGCAGAGTCACCCGCAATATATGGTTCCTATCAACCTACGGGTATCAGGAAATCACAATGAGTGTTCCTTGGGATATCAGCCCCCGCTCTTCCCTGAGCAAGAGGAAGAAGTCAGCATACCCACTGCCCAGATGTTTATCCGCCGCTGTCGCTGTACCTGGCCGCTCTTCTAAAGACCACATCCAGGTATCGGCGACAGGCGGATCGCCAACAGACCCCTGCACTCCGCTATCTGCTCGGGCAGAGGGTATGGCTTTCCACTTGGGACCTGCCCTTCCGGGTAGAGTCCCGTAAACTTTACCCCCGTTTCATCGGCCCATTCCCCATCTCTAAAATCCTTAGCCCCTCTGCTGTTCGTCTTCTGTTTCCCCGTACCCTCCATATACATCCTACTTTTCATTTGTCTAGGATTAAAGCTCTGTTTCACAGCCTTTGTCTCCTGTTGTCATTATTTCATTATGACATTATTCAATCAACTTTTAGAGACTGAACTGAGTTCACATGGAAACAATCATTTATTGGTTTAATTTGTTTTAATATGCAATGGTACATTTTGTAATTTAATAAAGCAAAATATACTGTACATCAAAATATTAAGAAATTACGTATTGAACTCAAGAAATGCAGTGGTATGCAATGATAATATCTATAGTAAATTAGAATTACATTTATTTCAAAAGGTTCATTTAACAGTACAACCTCAATTGGAATTAACACTTGAATTACATGAAAACATGAACAATAAAATACAGGATAGAGGATGTGTCCTGGTTCCTCTACTCACAGTAGTCTAGAAACGAGATTTGGTTCTGGGTTGCAGAGATTAGAAAAACACTGTTGCCCTATGATACAAAATAGTGTTGCTTGTTTGTCTTGACAATTACAGAATATAGTAGCAATTGAAAAATAGTTGATTGACCAAAATGTATTCCTCTGTACTGTAGTTCACTCCCAGTCTGAGTACCTGACATGAGAGTACACACTCTCCTGTGGTGTCTCTCTCTTCTTTCTTCCTCTTTTAGTTTTCCTCTCAGAGAAATTCAGTGCAGCATAATTCAACATATCTGCATCTTGATCCTGTGAAGAATCATATTTTCATCAAACTGGAGTAGTAATCAATCTAGGAAATATCTCATTACAAAAGTTATGCCATGTTACATTTCTGGACAATATTGATTAGACAACTTTGCTGTGTTTACCTGGCTGCTTGATTCTCTAGTTGAGTTGTCATGCCCGATATGCTGAGAAGCACCCACTGTTTCCATGGATAAAAACAAAGCATAAAAATGACTAAAGACTCAAAGGGAAATTTACTGAACAATTTTAGATACTCCTCAACAATTTGCAACGTTAAGCAGCTCACCTTCACAATGTTCACAAACTGGTCTAGTATGTCTGGTGCAGATGAGGATAATGATCCCAATCACACAGACAGCCGAGGTCACTCCCAGAGCAATGATTACAGGATCTGTTGCTTTTTCTAGAAATGTAAAACAAAATCATAGTTTTGGCATTCATACTTAAGTAAATTAATGCTCTATATAACACTTTTAAGTGTACAACCTTAAGAATTGATGCTGTTCAATCTTCAATAATGGCTTCAGTTGTTAAGAATGTTTTAGATTTTAGATATATAAATATGTACTACCTACCAATATTCAGGTTTGTTCCGTTGCACAACAGGATCTCCCCACATGTGGCCACAGCACAGTAGTAAGTCCCAGCATCAGAGAGACTGAGGTTGTTCTTGGAGAGGTTGTAGACACAGCTCTTTGTAGGAGAGGGAGTCTCAGGGCTCTTCTCACACACATCACTCCTATTCCCAGGGGTGTAAATGACTCCTTGATGGGATTCTCCTGATCCGGCTCTGAACCAGTACACACTGTGCTCTGCTGTACAGGTCTCAGAGAGTACTTTACACTGCAGAGTCACATTTTCTCATGGGTAGAATGGGTCAGAAATTGGCTGTTGTACCACGGTCTTGTAATCAGACATCTGTTGATTCTTACCTAAATGGTACATTTATAGTTTCATATAAATCTATCTGAAACAACACTTTCTAAAATGCACATGAATGTATAAAATCATACAGACACATAGAAAACATATGAAGATGTAAGAACACTGAACAAAAAATAAAGGGCATTAATATATTCTCATTCCCTCTTAATACTAAAAAGGTCCCATTGATAAAGTTGACTTCATAGTCTATCCTATAAACGCAATAGTAAATGGCTTCATCTGTTGGTTCCATCTTTAGGATTGTGAGATATATCCCGTCAGCTTCAGCTTTCGCCACAATGAGATTTGAATTGATAAATTCCTTGTGCAATATAGGCTGAAACTCAAATTTATGCATGCTTGCACCAACTTGAGGAATTTGCCCAATAATTTGCTTGAACCAGAACATGTTTCCCCTATTGTATATTCTCTCTGAGAAAACACAGTAGAGAGTCACCAATGTAAACCTCCCTTACTTGAACTTGCCGCTGAACATTGTTGCATTGAGTCTCATCTATGAGATTTCAGAAAAAGAAACAATTTAATTGAAAAATACTTAAATTGTGATATTCTGATTGCACTATACTGTGCTATGCATTTAATAATAGTGGTTTTCGAGGTAAAACAAAGCAATCACTAACCAATCATGTCACATTTTTCTCCAAACACACAATGATGCCTACTAATCAGTATTCTATACTAACTATTTGTAGTACATTAGTAAGTCAAGGTTGAAATTGCACTTACACATCAAACTGAGAAGTACCACAATAACCTTGACTCTGATCATCTTGGCCAGTATGTAGATGTTACACTTCTGATGCACTTGTCCTCTGCCCATGAAATGCAAAATGTGACTATATTATAGGCAGATCTAAACTCACAGACATATCTGATAGGCTGAAGAAAACAAAATCATGCTACACTTCCTGTTAATTTTTCCCTCCAACAACCTGGTTGATTACCTAAACATACAGTATTTGCTTTAGGCCAACATTTTTTATTGTGTTAAAGCCACTGTACTTGTCAATGTATCAACTATGTAAGTTACGTGGCCCAAATGTTTACTGAGGTACATGACAATATGGCAATGGCCAATAGACTACCAAGCTAGATGCACAATAATCTGGTAGCTATTTCTGCATTGCATTTTATGAGCAAGTCACAGAATAATGATGATTTTTTGATGGGTACATTTCTAGCTAGCTGATTAGATAGACGATTAGGTTTAGATAACCTAAGCAAATGCAGGCTACCTAGCATGGCAAGTAATTTAGATAGAGGCTACATCTGGCTGCTTTCATGTGAAAAATACCTAGCTAATCATCATAAATGCTAGAAAAGCTACTGGTAACACTTAGTCAGCCGGGGTGCTGTACATGAACAAAGTGGAAAACCATCTAAAGTCATTGTCAGATAATTAGGTTGCTTATTTTAACCTAAAAAAGGCTTAATACAAGTAATTGATCTTATTTCAAAATATTTTCCAAAGTATTTTACCTTGAAGTCCAGGTAGCAGATAAACGACCCTATAAGATATGTATGAAGTTGGTGCTGTATATGAAGGAACATGGGTTCTACATGGGTTCTAACTTTAACAATTCTTTGTTAGTTTAAAATTGTACAATTTATGCTCCCCGCATGTAAAATCCACGAAGACTGCCGGAAACCCCCGAACGCAAGATCGTAATTTCTCGGATTCACACGGTGAAGGAAAATATTGCCTGTACCCTGCTGTACATGGTGGAGGAACATATTGCCTGTACCCTACTGTACATGGTGGAGGAACATATTGCCTGTACCCTGCTGTACATGGTGGAGGAACATATTGCCTTTACCCTACTGTACATGGTGGAGGAACATATTGCCTGTACCCTGATGTACATGGTGGAGGAACATATTGCCTGTAGCCTGCTGTACATGGTGGAGGAACATATTGCCTGTAGCCTACTGTACATGGTGGAGGAACATATTGCCTGTACCCTGCTGTACATGGTGGAGGAACATATTGCCTGTACCCTGCTGTACATGGTGGAGGAACATATTGCCTGTACCCTACTGTACATGGTGGAGGAACATATTGCCTGTAGCCTACTGTACATTGTAAGCTGTAAGTGGCACTTAACTTTTTAGTATGAACAACAGCTGTGAGGACTTTCTACAATATTCACAACATATTGACACAATTACAATCTTTACAGAATAACAATCTAATTTCATCAATTACATGTGGAAATACGTCTTTGAGTGAACATTAGCAAGCCAGCAGCAGATGAAACAGAAGGTGAATTCTCTCCTCCCTCTCTGCCCGGTTTTAGTTTGCCATCTAGCATCATAGGTTTACAATATTTACTAACCCATACCAGTGACAAACTTAGCTATGTTATCGACATATGGCAGTACACAAACAATAACGAGCTCACTTATTTTGCTAGCTAGAAATAAATAGCTAGCTATAGAAAGGATAGCTAGCTATAGGAAGCTAATGTTAGGAGCTACCTCTTCAACAAGAAGCGACTATGACAACATTGATCTTAATATACTGTATTTAAAAAAAAACAATCCCATTGAGCAAAATCAACAATCGACCTCTCCAAAGAAAGCATGGTTCTGGGGCTTCTCCAAAATGCCAGCAGATCTGCAATCGGATCCATCGTACTCCTGAGTGGCGCAGTGGTCTAAGGCACTGCATTGCAGTGCTAACTGTGCCACTAGAGATCCTGGTTCGAATCCAGGCTCTGTCGCCGCCGGCCGCGACCGGGACACAATTGGCCCAGGGTAGGGGAGGGAATGGCTGGCAGGGATGTAGCTCAGTTGATAGAGCATGGTGTTTGCAATGCCAGGGTTGTGGGTTCGATTACCACGGGGGGCCAGTATAAAAAAAATATGTATTCACTAACTGTAAGTTGCTCTGGATAAGAGCGTCTGCTAAATGACGTAAATGTAATGGTTGAAGCGTTGCATTTCAGTTTAGCCCACACTCGGCAGGATGGATAGAAAACACCCCCAGATCCACGGAATGGCCAAATTATATTTGCTTAGTTTTATCAGTGTTATTTAGATGGAAAGCTAAATGCAGAATAGCTAGCTAATATTAGCATAGAGGTAACAAGCTAGCTTTTTCAATTACCCGGTTGGCCTCCATCCTCACTGAAGCCCATCTATGATAATGCTTGGTCTCTACTGGTGCTGCTGGCTGTTTAAGATGCTTTAAATGCCACATTGATGGGAGGGACAGCATATACTTTGCGAAGTAACTTTTTGCTGAAGTGCTCCTTCCATTTTTGATAGCCATTGAAGTTCTCAGGGATGAAATGTGCCCTGCAGAATGACTAGTAGATGCCAAATTCACCCAGTTTACACAATTTACCACAGCCACAAAGTCAAAATTGTCTATATCATAAAGATAAAGGAAAACAAAAATGAGCTTTTTGGTCTTCATTTAAGGTTAGGGTTAGGTATAAGGTTAGCAGTGTGGTTAAAGGACCAATTCCCCCGCCTCATTCTCACAAATGTATCTCACTTTTTACAAACTTTTCATTCACCCAGTGACGCTGACCAAGGGGCATTGTGCGATTTTCTCCAAAATTAGAGCTGATTTTGAGAAAACCTCAAACCCAACTTTTAGAACAACATAAAATACTATAATATTATAACAATTGATTCAAGAGTTTGTAATTTGGGAATGTTTTATTGGGGTGCTCTAAGTTAGTATTATATGCGTTTCTGGCATTGACAAATAAGTGCTACACTCCCTTTAATAAGATGATTCAGGTAAAATATGTAAAAAATATACCTCGAAAAAATATATATTATTTGTATTACGTCTTTTTGGGGGGTTAAAATAAGCAAAATGATCAGCCCATGACGTTAGATAATTTCGCTTGGTAAGATAAAACATGCGAAAAAACAAATTTTAAGTGAATTATCAATATAAGATATTTAGGCTTGCTTAGATTTCACTTTCTGCAGTGTCAACATATGTGTAATTGGCGCATTTCTATGTCTTGCAGTAACAAATATAGAGGTAGATAAGTGTTTCCAATTTAATCATTTACCAATTAGTAGGCAATTAGCAGGCAATGCCTACTCAACCTTGTTTAAAAATCACACAATGCACACTTATCTTCCTCTATATTTTTTACTATAAAACATAGAAAAGCGCAATTTCACATATGTTGATGTTGGGGTGGTGCTGGATATGAACAATAGGAAGCTGAACATTTTGAAATTTTCCTTTAATCCTCTTATGCCTTGAGGCACATACAGTAAGGCATCCACAAGAGAGAACCACTGCTTCCAGTCTGAGGGCCTTCTAAGTGAGGGTTCCTCAGGTCAGGCCACACTTTGTTACTGAAGGGTGCATGTATACTGAACAATTATATAAATGCAACATGCAACAATTTCAAATATTTTACAGTAACAGAGTTACAGTTCATACAAGGAAATCAGTAAATTGAAATAAATAAATTAGGCCATGGATTTTACATGACTAGGAATACAGATATGCATCTGTTGGTCACAGATAACTATTTTTTTAAAGGTAGGGGCGTGGATCTGAAAACCAGTCAGTATATGGTGTGACCACCATTTGCCTCATGCAGCCCAACATCTTTTTCGCATAGAGTTGATCAGGCTGTTGATGCTGGCCTGTGGAATGTTGTCCCATTCCTCTTCAATGGCTGTGCGAAGTTGCTGGATATTGGGGGGAACTGGAACACGCTGTCGTACACGTCGATCAAGAGTATCCCAAACATACTCAATGGGTGACATGTCTGTTGAGTATGCAGGCCATGGAAGAACTGGGTCATTTTCAGCTTCCAGGAATTGTGTACAGATCCTTGCGACATGGGGCCGTGCATTATCATGCTGAAACATGAGGTCATGGCGGCAGATAAACGGCACGACAATGGGCCTCAGGATCTTGTCACAGTATCTCTGTGCATTCAAATTGCCATCAATGAATGAAATTGTGTTCATTGTCCGTAGCTTATGCCTGCCCATACAATAACCCCACCACCACCATGGGGCACTTTGTTCACAACGTTGACATCAGCAAACCGCTCGCCCACACAACGCTGTACACGCTGTCTGCCATCTGCCTGGTACAGATGAAACCAGGATTCATCTGTGAAGAGCACACTTCTACAGCATGCCTGTGGCCATGGAAGTTGAGCATTTCCCCACTGAAGTTGGATACCATGCCGAACTGCAGTCAGGTCAAAACCCTGGTGAGGACTGGGAGCATGCAGATGAGCTTCCCTGAGACGGTTTCTGACAGTTTGCGCAGAGGTTCTTTGGTTTTGGAAACTCACAGTTTCATCAGCTGTCCGGGTGGCTGGTCTCAGACGATCCCGCAGGCTGGCGTGGTTACATGTGGTCTGCGGTTGTGAGGCCGGTTGGACGTACTGCCAAATTCTCAAAAACGACGTTGGAGGTGGGTTATGGTAGAGAAATTATTTGGCAACATCTCTGGTGGACATTGCTGCAGTCAGCATGCCAATTGCACGCTCCCTCAAAACTTGAGACATCTGTGGCATTGTGTTGTGTGACAAAACTGCACATTTTAGAGTGGCTTTTTATTGTCTCCAGCACAGGTTGCACCTGTGTAACGATCATGCTGTTTAATCAGCTTCTTGATATGCCAGACCTGTCAGGTGGATGGATAATCTTGGCAAAGGAGAAATCTTTTATTTCAGCTCATGAAACATAGGACCAACATTTTATATTTTGCGTTTATATTTTTGTTCATTGTAATTACGTCATCTTAAAAACAAAATAAGTGCCTTTAGTAGAAAACTTTAGAATATAATTCAGGTGTAGCGGAGATGATTTGGAACCTTGTCCCGTGATGAGGTAACCCTGCCTGAGACTTGTAAGCCTGACTGTCACACTTGGCCCAAGAGAGTGTAATGGTTAAGATGTTGGGTTCCAGAGCAAGACAACTGTGTTACGAATCAGACCAGTTACATTGTTGCCCAACAGCAGGACGATCTCTTGTGGAGGAGGAGGTCAAAGGGGGGTAAATGTAGCCGAGGTGATTTGGAATCACACTCTCGTGATGAGGTAGCCCTGCCTGCATCTTTTAAACCCAATTTCACCCTCAGACCAGGAGGGAATTTCCTCTTGGTCAAATGCAGGTTTTCTTAAACTATAGGTCGGGACCCAAAGTGGGCCCCGGGCATGTGAGAGGTGGGTCGCAAGTTATGAGAATACATCTATAATCACACACTATTTATTCTTAATGTGGGTTGTTGGAGGATGATTTGGGTCACGGGACTACGGTCAATTTCTCATTTGGGTCTCGAGCTGAAAAAGTTTAAGAAATGGTCTCGACGTTGGTTTCCTGAGCGGTCCCCTGGTTACTGCCTGTTTAGCCTGGCACTTGAGAGCTTTAAGGAAATCAACCCAGTCTAAGTAAATGATCACAGACCCCTTTGATATAGGACCTCACAGGACCTCACTTGTATCTTCTATGACCGATGTCATTTGATCTGTACCATGTAACAAAAAGAAACTAAGGTCGATGTCTGCGCCCCGGCATCCGCCTATATAACACTTCCGCATATGCGGTGAAAGGTGACAGAGCTAGAGCAGTGTTTGTCAGACCTTGAGACAACCCTGAAAATCTGCCTTCTCACAAAATCGTCTGTAGCATCTGAATGGTTTGGTTAACATTAACTATTATGACCCCTCTATGGAAAGATGAGATTCTCACAAACACTATGGTGTTCTCCGTTTTGCTCTACTACCCCCACAAGCGTCTTGTGACTCATCTGAAGTCGGTACAGCTGATCTGACAACTTCTGTCTGTAGTTTGGGCTACACACTGCTATGACCCCTCTGTGTAAAGATGAGACTCTCACGATCACGTACATTCCGGTTGTTTTGCTCTAGGATGCCCACAGGCCTCACAAGACTTGTCTGAAGCTCCCCCGGTACCATTCAAAAAAATTTATGGAACTATATACGGAGACCAGTGGAGGCTGCTGAGGGGAGGACGGCTCATATAAATGGCTTGAAAGGAGCGAATGGAATGGCATCAAACACATGGAAACCACATGTTGGATATATTTCATACCATTCCACCCATTCCTCTCCAGCCATTACCACGAGTCCGTCCTCCCCAATTAAGGCGCCACCAACCTGCTGTGATGGAGACTGTTTAGTGAAAAAGAATACATGTACAAATCTTTCTTATATCTCTCAGACGACGACTATCTGTTGATCCGTTTAGTGAATCTGTTATTCAATGTGTTTGTATGGGCTAGTAGCAGTAAGGCCAAAAATAATTGTTCATCAAATATTGTTTTAAATATTTTTTTAAACTTCAAGGGGTCTTACATTTCAAAATTAAATAGCACAACGATCCTAGGTATAACCTTATTAAAAAAATTCCATATAGCTTATTAGAACCGTGCCCCCCTCCCCCTGTTTAGACAGGGCTTAGATTCTTAAGGTTAAGACAAAATGAATGTTAAAGTGAAAGTGCATTTTCAGTCAGATCTTTTCATGCCAAAAACAATTAAATGAAACAGGACAAGTAAAAAGGGCAGGCAATATATAGCAATTGTACTGTGCAGACAGACAGAAAAAATAAGAAATTAATTGATATAGTTAGTTAGACAAACGTATTTAAGTGTCAATCCACAATGATACAATGATACAGATTTTCTTGGTCAAACATGGTAGAGGCATCATCTATAATACATTACATCATCTATACACGTTTCCATACAACAACCAAAAAGTACTGTGGATAAAACGATAATTAGACACCATAGTATACAGTAACATGAAAGCTACGGTGGTGACCTTATGACATAACAGGCATTTTAAGGGTTGGAACATTTTACAGGAAGTATTGAACGCTATGTTCCAGCCAGTGAGGTATATTTTCAATTTTGAATGCTTGATCTTGGGTTCTCATTTAAGCACAGACCAAATCAACACTACCACCCCAGAGGCTACATACCATCATGGTCAGATTAGGGATTGCTGTGATTCTTCTCAGTGCAGTGTGTAAGTACAATTTCATCACTGGTAGTATATTGAAAATATTGTTGTTGTGGTGCCGTGCATTTCAATATAGTTCAAGCTTCTTGAAAGATAGGATAAATTGACATTTAGAATGTTCAACCAACACACATACCATCTAAATATAAATATTAACAATAGTCAGTGTTAATAAACAAAGTAAGCAAAAGAAATGTAAAACATCTGGAATGATTATCACATCTTAATTTTCTATTATTTGAAAAGTTTTCACAGACTATTGTTATCTCTTGTTTAACATAACTGCAGTATGCTTCTGTTTCTGTTTCCATTTGATTTAGATGTAGACAATGTTAACCTGCTAAGTCCAGTGACCTCTGTTCAACTTGGTGATCCTGTAACCTTGCTATGTGTTTTCCCAGAAGAAGAATTAAACGATGAGCAAATGCACTGGTACAAGCAAACTGTGGGAGATATTCCACAACTTGTCGCATCAATGCATAAATATTTAACAAAGCCTTTGTTTCACTCTGGATTTAATAATTCACACTTCAATGTAAAATTGGCTCAACGTATTTATCGCCTTACTATCATGAAGACGTTCCCAGAAGATGAAGCCATGTACTATTGTGCAATTGGAAGAGAGATGACTGTGAAGTTTAGAGATGGCACATTTCTGTCTTTAAAAGGTAAAATAATTGTACTTTATATTTATAGGTTATGTCAATTGGATAATAATTTGTTCAGTAATTAAACAAAACATTTGCTTGGTACATTAGTAATTTCTCAGCTAACAGAATGATTGCACTAAAATATGTTTATCTTATATTATTTGAACATTTGATAATTACTCAAAATGTTCTGATTAATTTAGGAAACGGTCAGAGGTCTGACTACCAGACAGTGGACCAGCAGCCAGAATCTGACCCAGTCTATCCAGGAGACTCTGTGACTCTACAGTGTAAAGTACTCTCTGAGACCTGTACAGGAGAACACAGTGTGTACTGGTTCAGAGCCGGATCAGGAGAATCCCATCCAGGAGTCATTTACACCCCTGGGAACAGGAGTGATGAGTGTGAGAAGAGCCCTGAGACTCCCTCTCCTACACAGAGCTGTGTCTACAGCCTCTCCAAGAACAACCTCAGTCTCTCTGATGCTGGGACTTACTACTGTGCTGTGGCCACATGTGGGGACATCCTGTTTGGCAATGGAACAAAACTTAACATCATTAAAGGTACAACTTCTTGTTAAATTGATAAAGCACCTTACACTTGAAAATCTTTATCCAAACATTCAAGCAAATTTTATAGATACCATTATTTAGTTTAAATAGGTCAAAGACAAATAAATTGTCTTATCATGCTTAACATAAAACATAAAAAGCATGTTGAATGTATTTCGTACCAGGAAACACAGTGGATCCCATTGTCCTCAGCTTGGGAGCAGCAGTGGCTTTTTGTGTGATTCTAATTTTTATTCTCGCTTGTACCAAAAACAAGAGGCAAACATGTGATCATTGTAAAGGTAAGTCATTTTAGAGATACATATCTATTGGTTTGTGTCAAATGTGTTAGCTATGATCATTTATAAGTAAAATCTCAACTCATGCTCTGATTCAGCGCTGAATTATACTGAATATTCCATCTTCATGCTTGGGTTTCTGTCTGTTGATACAGCAAGTGTCTCTCAGCATACTCACCATGATGATAACCTCTCACCAGAGCAGTCAAGTGGTCAGGTATGTAACATCTATATTATCCAATGTGTGAAAACAAGAGGTACATTGCCAGTTCCACAGGAGTGTGTATATTAGTGTATATGTGTATATTTATGGATACATCACTAAGTACAGCAGTAACCAATGAGATGTTGCAGCAGTGTTGTGTGTCAGAAAGAAAACATGTATTTCAATATATTGTTAATTATAACCTGCAGCTATAATTTGGCCAGCTCTCAGTTGATGAAAATAGTGTTTGTTTTATTAAAACATTGGTTTTGCATAGCCATAGCCTGTCATTAACTAGTAGGAAAAAACGTGACACTAAAATCTGATCCACGTTAGATCTGTGTTACAGCACGCGTGACAAAAAAGCTGCATTGTCGGCGGTCCAGCGCCCTGTGCTATGAATTTAATCTTAGCCTCAGAATGCACATTTCACTTGACCATGTTATTGTTAATGTTATTATTTGGACTTTTCTGTTATTGTGCACAATGGAGTTATTATTTACTGTACTCTATTCCTTAGGTGCCAAACACATATATGTTGAATTATGCTGCATTGCATTTCTCTGAGAGGAAAACTAAAAGAGGAAGAAAGAAGAGAGAGTCACCACAGGAGAGTGTGTACTCTGATGTCAGGTACTCAGACTGGGACTGAACGTTGTTTATGTGCAGAGGAATGGGTGTAGTTTGGTCAATAAACTATCTTTAATATAGATGTATATAATGTATTCAGACAGTCATGACATTTTAGCCTCACTGATACTATAATGTATAATAGAATAAGCTTGTTCTTCTAGAACTGTTCTCTGTCAGAGCACCACTGTTATGGAAAGGCTTGTCCTGTCATGTAGAGGGCCAGAAACCATTGAGGTCTTCGAATCATGCCGGAAAATCCACCGTTTTAGCTTGGCCTTTAACCTTAATCTGTGATTGTATTGTTATTTTAGACTTCCTTAGTGATTCAATGTTCTCCACTTGTATCGTATCTCTTGTATCTCAGCCCTTTGATGAGACATACTATTTAACAGTGAGCCAAACTCAGTGGCCTTGTGCTTAGTGACCACCATGAGATCAGAAGGTTGAGGGTTTGATCCCCGGTCGAGTCACACCAATTACTCTAAAAATGGGACCAAATGACTCTCTGCTTGGCACTCAGCGTAAACAAGATGGATTGGGTTAAGTGTCCTGTCCAGGGGGTATGCTTTTACATCAAGCTGCCTTCCGCAATGGAATCAGGAGATAGGCTTCTGCCCCTATGAGCCGTTCTGACTCAGACAAGGATTACTTACTTACCTATTGTTCTACTGTAAAATGTGATGCAATTTAAATGTTTTTCAAAGAAAATTAGAGTTGTTCAGCCCCCATTTGAAGTAATTTTACTCTATTTGCAATAATGTATAATTGTATTATGGTTATTTTTTCATTCATATTTCACAAATGTATGATGGTTGTGGTATTTACTGTAACCCATGAAACAAACAAGATAGCATAACTTCATAAACATTGAATATAATGTAGGTTATTTACATTCTACAGTATTTATTTAGTTCCAACAGCATACTGTATTTATAGCTGTAATGTACCAGCATGTACCAGTAGGGCTGTGTCAAATCATCAAACCAATTTATCATTAAACATTGTCTGATTCATAACATTATTTACAATTGAGCTTTTAATAATGGTACAAAGGGTGATTTACACAACTGTCATCAAAGGTCAACTCTTGAAATTGACTACAAATTAAACATACTGCAAATGTATTTGTCACGCCCTGGCTCTGGGGACTCTTATATGTTGAGCCAGGGTGTGTAGGGTCTATGTTTTGTGTTCTATGTTCAGGTTCTAGTTCATGTTTTTTCTAGGTTGGCCGGGGTGGTTCTCAATCAGAGGCAATGAGAATCAGCTGTTGCTTGTTGTCTCTGATTGGGAACCATACTTAGGCAGCCTGTTGTGCACTTGTGTTTTGTGGGATCTTGTTCCGTGTTAGTTTGTGTTCATGACCGAGGACTTCACGTTTCGTTTTGTTGTTTTGTATTTTTGTATCGTGTTGCACTATTAAAGAGATGTATGCATATCACGCTGCGCCTTGGTCCAATCATTATGACGAGCATGACAGTATTCACTCTTGGTTCCTGAAATAATCAAAGAAACAAAAAAAGCACAAGCCAGGTTTGGTTAGTAACTCTGGGAATTACACTCATTTAAACTGTAGAAAACAAACTGTAATCTAAAAAAAGATTGCTTGTTTCTGTCTGGTTGCAACTTCCAATGGTGGACCGACTTGATGCTCCCACTGTTCTTTCATTTATTTCTCCTGGTTCCAGTTGTCTTGGTGGTAAAGGTCACTGCAGTGTATTGTAGCCAGTCACCACTGAATCCATGAGAAGAAACATGGAGAAAAAAACTACAATTCCTAAGATGAGTGAATCATTTCCACAAGTCTTTGTTACAGAACAGTAGAGTGGCATAGCAGGCATCTCAAATTGCTGGTCTCAGTAAATAATATAGCATTGATGTTGATCATTAAGTAAGATAGTAGTCACATACTTTTTTGTAAGCTAGTATTTGTACCATTTTACCCAACTGGTCAGCATTGAGAATGCCATCACAGATTTGTAGAGAAGTGTCATCTGTTTTCATAGCAGAATTCAATGAAATTATTAGAAGATCATTAGAAACAGTATGGTAAAACTAACTAATCACTAACCAATCATGTCAAATATTTTCTCCAAACACCCAATGACGCCTACTAATCAGTATTCTATACAAAGTCAAGGTTGAAATCGCACTTCCACATCAAACTGAGAAGTACCACAATAACCTTGACTCTGATCATCTTGGCCAGTATGTAGATGTTACACTTCTGATGCACTTGTCCTCTGCCCATGAAATGCAAAATGTGACTATATTATAGGCACATCTAAACTCACAGACATATCTAATAGGCTGAAGAAAACAAAATCATGCTACACTTCCTGTACATTTTTCCCTCCAACAACCTGGTTGGTTACCTAAACATACAGTATTTCCAGTGCTAAAGACACTGCACTTGTCAATGTATCAACTATGTAGGTTACGTGGCCCAAATGTTTACCGAGGAAGAATAGTGTTTTGGAGGACGCTTTGCCTGTGGAATGAAATGCTAGCAAGCTAAAGAATGATGTTGGAGGTGAAACCTGGACTGCCAATGCTCATGGGTGGAACTTGCGCTCCGTGCGTGATACTGTCTGTGTCCGCCATCGGTGTCACTGACACTGCGGTGAAGAACAACGAACACAGTGCCAATATCTTCACTTTTCTTACTGGAGAACTTGGTCTTACTGAGGACAGGATCGTGATCAGGTTCTATGCACTGGAGCCACATCAGGTCGGAAAGGAAGGAACTGTTATGAGTTACCTGTAGGAGGCACTATGGACGACAGAGTGACTTCAAGCATCCATTCCACAACAGTTGCCATCGGCGAGAACAAACCCTGCCAGTGGATTTCCACCACTCAATTGGACATGAGTGCCACATGTCATCATTAAGACTTGTATTGCATTTTATCATAATGGAATTTGATCCCATGGAATTTGACCCAATGACACTATGCCCTGGAACCAGGACTTGTTCATTTCAATTACTGTACATGTCTGCAATAGTAAACCAGGGATGTAGCTCTGTTGGTAGAGCATGGCGTTTGCAACGCCAGGGTTGTGGGTTTGATTCCCACGGGAGGTATGAAAAAATAATGTATGCACTCACTAACTGTAAGTCGCTCTGGATAAGAGCGTCTGCTAAATGACGTAAAATGTAAAAAATAGAAAATAAATACATGACAATATGGCAATGGCCAATAGACTACCAAGCTAGATGCACAATAATCTGGTAGCTATTTCTGCATTTTATGAGCAAGTCACAGAATAATGATGATTTTGATGGGTACATTTCTAGCTAACTGATTAGATAGACGATTAGGTTTAGATAACCTAAGCAAATGCAGGCTACCTAGCAAGGTAAGTAATTTAGATAGAGGCTACATCTGGCTGCTTTCATGTGAAAAATACCTAGCTAATCATCATACATGCTAAAAAAGCTATTGGTAACACCGGGGTGCTGTACATGAACAAAGTGGAAAACCACTGGCAGATAACTTTTATTATTTTTATCTAAAAAAAGGCTTAATACAAGTAAATGATCTTACTTCAAAATATTTGTGAAAATATTTTACCTTGAAGTCTAGGTAGCAGATAAACGACCTTATAAGATATGTATGAAGTTGGTGCTGTATATGAAGGAACATGGGTTCTACATGGGTTCTAACTTGAACAATTAATTGTTAGTTTAAAATTGTACAATTTATGCTCCCTGCATGTAAAATCCACGAAGACTGCCGGAAACCCCCGAACGCAAGATCATAATTTCTCAGATTCACAAGGTGAAGGAAAATATTGCCTGTACCCTACTGTACATGGTGGAGGAACATATTGCCTGTACCCTGCTGTACATGGTGAAGGAAAATATTGCCTGTACCCTACTGTACATGGTGGAGGAACATATTGCCTGTAGCCTACTGTACATGGTGGAGGAAAATATTGCCTGTAGCCTACTGTACATGGTGGAGGAACATATTGCCTGTAGCCTACTGTACATGGTAAGCTGTAAGTGGCACTTAACTTTTTAGTATGAACAACAGCTGTGAGGACTTTCTACAATATTCACAACATATTGACACAATTACAATCTTTATAGAATACAAATCTAATTTCATCAGGTCTCTTGTGGAGGAGGAGGTCAAAGGGGGGTGAATGTATCCGAGGTGATTTGGAATCACACTCTCGTGATGAGGTAGCCCTGCCAGCACCTTTTAAACCCAATGTCAGGAGGGAATTTCCTCTTGGTCAAATGCAGGGTTTCTTAAACTATAGGTCAGAACCCAAAGTGGGCCCTGGGCATGTGAGAGGTGGGTCGCAAGTTATGAGAATACATCTATAATCACACACTATTTATTCTTGATTTGGGTAGTTGGAGGATGATTTGGGTCACGGGAGTACAGTTCATTTCTCATTTGAGTCTTGAGCTGAAAAGTTTAAGAAATGGTCTAGACGTTGGTTTCCTGAGTGGTCCCCTGGTTAGTCTGTTTAGCCTGTCACTTGAGAGCTTTAAGGAAATCATCTATGACCGATGGCATTTGATCTGAACCACGTAACAAACTCACCCTAAAGATCGATGTCCGCGCCCCCGTGGAAATCAAAATTAACATAATTAAACATTCCCCATAAAAATCGGTCAAATTAAGCTAGAGATATCTGTTTGTTTTGCATTGGATGCGTCTCAATCCACCGCATCCATCTATGTAACACTTCCGCATATGCGGTGAAAGGTGACAGAGCTGGAGCGGTGTTTGTCAGACCATGAGACAACCCTGAAAATCGGTCTTCTCACAAAATCATCTGTAGCATCTGAATGGTTTGGTTAACATTAAATATTATGACCCCTCTATGGAAAGATGAGATTCTCAAAAACACTATGGTGTTCTCCGTTTTGCTCTACAACCCCCACAAGCGTCTTGTGACTCATCTGAAGTCGGTACAGCCGATCTGACAACTTCTGTCTGTAGTTTGGGCTACACACTGCTATGACCCCTCTGTGTAAAGATGAGACTCTCACCAACACGTACATTTCAGTTGTTTTCTCTAGGATGCCCACAGGCCTCACAAGACTTGTCTGAAGGTACCCCGGTACCATTTGAAAAAAATTATGGAACTATATATGGAGACCAGTGGAGGCTGCTGAGGGGAGGACGGCTCATATAAATGGCTGGAAAGGAGCGACTGGAATGGCATCAAATACCTGGAAACCATGTGTTGGATGTATTTGATACCATTCCACCCATTTCTCTCCAGCCATTACCTGGAGACCATTACATGGAAACATGGACTATCTGTTGTTCCATTTAGTGAATCTGTTATTCAATGTGTTTGTATGGGCTAATAGCAGTAAGGCCAAAAATCAAATACTTTTGCTACATTTTTTTTTTTATACTTCAAGGGCTCTTAAAATCCCAAATTAAATTGCAAAATGATCCTTGGTATGGCCTTAAAGAAATTCCATATTGCTTATTAGAACCCAGCCCCCCTCCCCCGATTTAGACAGGGCTTAGGTTCTTAAGGTCAAGACAAAAGTTATGTTAATGTTCAAGTGCATTTTCAGTCAGATATTTTTATGCCAAAAACAATTAAATGAAACAGGACAAGTAAAAAGGGCAGGGAATATATAGCAATTGTACTGTCCAGACAAACAGAAAAAATAAGAAATTCATTGATATAGTTAGTTAGACAAATTATTTAAGTGTCAATCCACAATGATACAATAATACACAATGCAGACTTTTTTTTAAACCACATTGAGACCACATTTGAGACACTAAAAGCAATCATGGTCAAACATGGTAGAGGCGTCATCTATAATGTCTCCCGAGTGGCGCAGTGGTCTAAGGCACTGCATCACAGTGCTAGCTGTGCCACTAGAGATCCTGGTTCGAATCCAGGCTCTGTCGTAGCCGGCCGCGACCGGGAGACCCAATGGGGCGGCGCACAATTGGCCCAGCGTCGTCCAGGGTAGGGGAGGGAATGGCCGGCAGGGATGTAGCTCAGTTGGTAGAGCATGGCGTTTGCGACGCCAGGGTTGTGGGTTCAATTCCCAAGGGGGGCCAGTAAGAAAAATAAACTAACTGTAAGTCGCTCTGGATAAGAGCGTCTGCTAAATGACTAAAATGTAAATGTATGTATAATACATTACATCATCTATACACATGACTCCATACAACAACCAAAAAGTACTGTGGATAAAAGGATAATTAGGCACTTAAAAATAAACAATATATGAGACACCATAGTATACAGTAACATGAAAGCTACGGTGGTGACCTTATGACATAACAGGCATTTCAGGTTTACAAAAGAAATGTCAAGGGTTGGAAAATTTTACAGGAAGTATTGCACACCATGTTCCAGCCAATGAGGTATGTTTTCAAATTTGAATACTTGAGTTCTCATTTAAGCACAGAACAAATCAACACTACCAACCCAGAGGCTACATACCATGATGATCAGATTAGGGGTTGCTGTGATTCTTCTCAGTGCCGTGTGTAAGTACAATTTCATCACTGGTAGTATATGAAAAATATTGTTGTTGTGGTGCCGTGCATTTCAATATAGTTCAAGTTTCTTGAAGGATAGCATACATTGACATTTAGAATGTTCAACCAACACACATACCATCTAAAAATAAAGAATAACTTGAGTCAGTGTCAATAAACAACGTAAGCAAAAGAAAGGTAAAACATCTGGAAGGATTTTCACATCTTGATTTTGTACTTTTATAATTTTTTTCACAGACTATTCTTTTCTCTTGTTTAACATTTGTCCTTCTCTGTGTGATAACTGCAGTATGCTTGTGTTTCTGTTTCCATTTGATTTAGATGTAGACAATGTTAACCTGCTAAGTCCAGTGACCTCTGTTCCACTTGGAGATCCTGTAACCCTGCTATGTGTTTTCCCAGAAGAAGAATTCAGCGAGAAGCAAATGCACTGGTACAAACAAACTGTGGGAGGTATTCCACAACTTGTCGCATCAATGCATAAATATTTAACAGAGCCTGGGTTTCACTCTGGATTTAACAATTCACACTTCAATGTAAAATTGGATCAGATGATGTTTGGCCTTACTATCATGAAGACGTTCCCAGAAGATGAAGCCATGTACTATTGTGCAATTGGAATAGAGATGACTGTGGAGTTTAGAGATGGCACATTTCTGTATTTAAAAGGTAAAGAATGTTGTATTGATGTCTACAAGTTATGTTAATTGGACAATAATTTCTTCAGTAATAAGAAAAACTATGTGCTCGCCACTTTTGTGATTGCAGTAAAATATGTTATTTTATATTATTTGAAAGTCTAATAATTACTCAATATGTTCTGATTAATTTAGGAAACGGTCAGAAGTCTGACTACCAGACAGTGGAGCAGCAGCCAGAATCTGACCCAGTCTATCCAGGAGACTATGTGACTCTACAGTGTACAGTACTCTCTGAGACCTGTACAGGAGAACACAGTGTGTACTGGTTCAGAGCCGGATCAGGAGAATCCCATCCAGGAGTCATTTACACCCCTGGGAACAGGAGTGATGAGTGTGAGAAGAGCCCTGAGACTCCCTCTCCTACAAAGAGCTGTGTCTACAGCCTCTCCAAGAACAACCTCAGTCTCTCTGATTCTGGGACTTACTACTGTGCTGTGGCCACATGTGGGGAAATCCTGTTTGGCAACGGGACAAAACTTAACATTAAAGGTCAATATTTTTGTTAAATTGACAAAGCACCTTACACTTGAAAATCTTTATGCAAACATTCAAACATATTTTATAGATACCATTATTTAGTTTAAATGTGTCAAAGCGAAATAAATTGTGTTATCAACTATGCATGCTTAACATAAAACATAAAAAGCATGTTGAATTTATTTCGTACCAGGAAACACAGTGGATCCCATTGTCCTCAGCTTGGGAGCAGCAGTGGCTTTTTGTGTGATTCTAATTTTTATTCTCGCTTGTACCAAAACCAAGAGGCAAACATGTGATCATTGTAAAGGTAAGTAATTTTAGAGATACATATCTATTGGTTTGTGTCAAACATGTTAGCTATGATCATTTATAAGAAAAAGCTCACCTCATGTGATTCAGCGCTGAATGTTACACTGTATATTCGGTCTCCATTTTCATGCTTGGGTTTCTATCTGTTGATACAGCAAGTGTCTCTCAGCATACTCACCATGATGATAACCTCTCACCAGAGCAGTCAAGTGGTCAGGTATGTAACATCTATATTATCCAATGTGTTAAAACAAGAGGTATATTGCCTGTAACACAGGAGTGTGTATATTAGTGTATATGTGTAAATGTGTCAATAAATCACTAAGTACAGCAGTAACCCATGAGATGTTGCGGCAGTGTTGTGTGTCATAAAGAAAACCTACATTGAAATATATTACTAATTAGAACCTGCAGCAATAATTTGGCCAGCTCTCAGTTGATCAAAAAAGTGGTTGATAGTTTTATTTCGAAGTATAAGTACATTTTAGACGTGGGGCTTTAAGATGTTAAATTACCCTCATATTTACTAGCTTATTTATTGTCCAGAAATCTGTAGTGTAACTTAAAATGTTATATTGAACAATGTCAACAAAGTAAATGCTTTAGAAAAGTGTTTGTTTTATTAAAACATTGGTTTTGCATAGCCATAGCCTGTCATTAACTAGTAGGAAAAAACGTGACACTAAAATCGGATCCACGTTAGATCTGTGTTACAGCACGCGTGACAAAAAAGCTGCATTGTCGGCGGTCCAGTGCCCTGTGCTATGAATTTAATCTTAGCCTCAGAATGCACATTTCACTTGACCATGCTATTGTTAATGTTATTATTTGGACTTTTCTGTTATTGTGCACAATGGAGTTATTATTTACTGTACTCTATTCTTTAGGTGTCAAACATAGATATGTTGAATTACACTGCATTGAATTTCTCTGAGAGGAAGACTAAAAGAGGAAGAAAGAAGAGAGAGACACCACAGGAGAGTGTGTACTCTGATGTCAGGTACTCAGACTGGGAGTGAACTTTGTTTCAGATAAAGCATGGACTAAATTATCTCAGTTAATTATCTCTATTTTGAAATAATGTAAGAGTTTTGGTTAAAACATCTCAGGACATTGCTCTTGGATGAACTTTTACAAAATTGCAATACAATATCCTAATTCAATACTATAGAACTATAGAAAATGGAATTCCATCCATGTTTCTGCTCAAAATTTCTCCTGGAGTGGTCCTCCTACTCTGAGCTAGCTGATCTCAACTAGTAGCAGGAGGAAATGTATCTTTAAATGTCCATGTACACTACATTACCAAAAGTATGTGGACACCTGCTCGTCGAACATCTCATTGCTAAATCATGGGCATTAATATGGAGTTGGTCCCCCCTTTGCTGATTTAACATCCTTCACTCCTCTGAGAGGAATGTTGGAACATTGCTGACCGGGACTTGCTTCCATTCAGCCACAAGAAGATTAGTGAGGTCTGGCACTGATGTTTGGCGATTACGCCTGAGTCACAGTCTGCGTTCCAATTAATCCCAAAGGTGTTCGATGGGGTTGAGGTCAGGGCTCTGTGCAAGCCAGTCAAGTTCTTCCACACTGATCTCGACAAACCATTTCTGTATGGATCTCGCTTTGTGCATGGGGGCATTGTCATGCTGAAACAGGAAAGGGACTTCCCCAAACTGTTGCCACAAATTTGGAAGCACAGAATCATCTAGAATGTCATTGTATGCAGTGATGTTAAGATTTCCCTTCACTGGAAATAAGGGGCCTAGTCCGAACCATGAAAAACAGCCCCAGAACATTATTCCTCCTCCAACCAAACTTTAAATTTGGCACTATGCATTGGGGCAGGTAGCGTTCTCCTGGCATCCGCCAAACCCAGATTTGTCAGTCAGACTGCCAGATGGGGAAGTGTGATTCATCACTCCAGAGAACACTTTTCCACTGGTCCAATTGCGGCGAGCTTTACACCACTCCAGCCAACGCTTGGCATTGCGCATGGTGATCTTAGGCTTGTGTGTGGCTGCTCGGCCATGGAAAACCATGTCATGAAGCTCCCGACGAACAGTTCTTGTGCTTACGATGCTTCCAGAGGCAGTTTGGAACTCGATAGTGAGTGTTGCAACCGAGGACAGACGATTTTTACTTGCAATGAGCTTCAGCACTCGGCAGTCCCGTTCTGTGTGCTTGTGTGGCCTACCACTTCACAGGCTGAGCCGTTGTTGCTCCTAGATGTTTCCACTTCACAATACCAGCACTTACAGTTTATTGGGACAGCTCTAGCAGCGCAGAAATCTGCCGAACTGACTTGTTGGAAAGGTGGCATTCTATGACGGTTCCACATTGAAAGTCACTGAGCTCTTCAGTAAGGCCATTCTACTGCCAATGTCTGTCTATGGAGATTGCATGGCTGTGTGCTCAATTTTATACACCTCTCAGCAACGGGTGTGGCTGAAATAGCCGAATCCACTAATTTGAAGTGGTGTACACATACATATAGTGTATATATTGTTAACATTGTGTAAAATGTTGAATGGAACCATAATACAGTTAGGGAAATAAGTATTTTATCCCCTGCTGATTTTGTACGTTTGCCCACTGACAAATAAATGATCAGTCTATAATTTTAATGGTAGGTTTATTTGAACAGTGAGAGACAGAATAACAACAAAAAAATCCAGAAAAACGCATGTCAAAAATGTTATCAATTGATTTGCATTTTAATGAGGGAAATAAGTATTTGACCCCTCTGCAAAACATTATTTAGTACTTGGTGGCAAAACCCTTGTTGGCAATCACAGAGGTCAGACATTTCTTGTAGTTGGCCACCAGGTTTGCATACATCTCAGGAGGGATTTTGTCCCACTCCTCTTTGTAGATCTTCTCCAAGTCATTAAGGTTTCGAGGCTGATGTTTGACAACTCGAACCTTCAGCTCCCTCCACAGATTTTCTATGGGATTAAGGTCTGGAGACTGGCTAGGCCACGCCATGACCTTAATGTGCTTCTTCTTGAGCCACTCCTTTGTTGCCTTGGCCGTGTGTTTTGGGTCACTGTCATGCTGGAATACCCATCCACGACCCATTTCCAATGCCCTGGCTGAGGGAAGGAGGTTCTCACCCAAGATTTGACAGTACATGGCCTCGTCCATCGTCCCTTTGATGCGGTGATATACACTCTCCCCAAAATTCACAAGAGCATGACACCACCTCTACCAGGCAGGCCCATTGTGAGTAGTAACGGATCTCTGACAGAGAATATCTCTACCGTTGTAGACTATGTTGTGAAACCCTGGGCGATCTCCCTCCCCACGTATACCAGAGACTATTGATTTCATTAATTATTTGAAATCTGTTGACCTCAGTACACCTGAGAATTCTGTGTACTTTTGATGTTACCAGTCTATGTACTAACATCCCCTAATCTACCTCAATGAAAATCCCCCTAATGCTTCCCAGCACCAATTGTATTGTGGACCTGGTTGAACTTGTATTAACCTCCAACTATGTTCTCTTCAGAGGATACTTTTTCCTCCAGACCAAAGGGACAGCGATGGGGAGCACTATGTCTCCCAATTATGCTAACCTGTATCTAGGAATGTTAAAAAAATATTATCCTAATTCTGAGATATTTGGATGACATTTCCGTGATCTATACAGGGACCCAGGAATAACTTTTGGAATTCCATGCTTATCTAAACTCTATGAATGAACACCTTCATTTCACCATTAACTATGACCTATCACAAATCAGTTTTCTTGATGTGATGGTTATTAAGGACAAAACCTCCCTCTCTACAGATCTCTATAGGAAACCTACGGACAGGAATAACCTCCTTAGAGGTGACAGCTTTCTTCCACTTCCACTTATTAAAAGTCTCCCTACAAGTCAATTCAGTCGCATCAGAAGAATATGCAGCTCTGATGCTTCTTATCAGAAACAGACCACGGACCTCACACAGAGGTTTAAGGAAAGGGGTACAAAGACAATTGGGTAAAACATGCCAATGAACGTGAATGACATTATGGTTAAATCTGATTACCCACGAGAGAAAAGGTAAACTTTCTTGGACAAGGTTCCGGAGGGTAATAACAAATGTGGCCAATGTGCTCTATGCAGCTTCACATACAAATGCAACTCATTTACCCACACCCGCACAGGAAAAATATTTATGATCAAAGGGCTGATTACCTGCATGTCCACCAATGTAGTTTTTATGTTGAAATGTCCTTGTGGTCTGTCTTACATAGGGAAAACTCACACAGATCTGTGAGCACCGCAGCAATATATGGGCAGGTGAGACAAAAAATCTGGTTGCTGTTCATTTTGTACAAACTGGACATCCTATTAGTTCTCTGAGATACATTGGAATAGAAATGGTAAAGATGTCACGCAGGGAAGGGGACATTGAGAGGAAACTTCTTCAAAGGGAATCTTTCTGGATCCACAGGCTCAACACATTGTCTCCTCTTGGCCATAACGAGGAGTTTGACTTGAAACCGTTTTTATAGTTTCAATATGTCCACATTGTGTTGTTTTTTTAATCCTAATTGAACATTGTATGAATATTGTATGTATATTACTGTAAATATTGATCACATTCCTTGTATATGATCATATATTTTGATACATTGAATGTTAATATTGTGAACCTATGTTATACATTTTTTACCTCCTGTTTCAGGAAGTGATGTCACTGAGTACTGCCCCTATATTTAGGACTTTTCACCCCCACCTGGGATATGGATGCCTGAAATGTTGTTATAAATAAATATCACCTGGGAGCATGAGCAGCTGTGTGCAGCATTTTCCTTTCTGTTTTTCAAAGTATTAGCATGATCATTTGATATCACTGAATATTTCTAGTATAGTGTGACATGACTCTCATGTGATGGTCCACATTTACATTTACATCATTTAGCAGACGCTCTTATCCAGAGTGACTTACAAATTGGTGCATTCAACTTATGATAGCCAGTGGGACAACCACCTTTTTTTTAATGGGGGGTGGGGGAAGAAGGATTACTTTATACTATTCCAGGTATTCCTTAAAGAGGTAGGGTTTCAAGTGTCTCCAGAAGGTGGTCAATGACTCCGCTGTCCTGGTGTCGTGGGGGAGCTTGTTCCACCATTGGGGTGCCAGAGCAGTGAATAGCTTTGACTGGGCTGAACGGGAACTGTGCTTCCGTAGAGGTAGGGGAGCTAGCAGGCCAGAGGTGGGTGAACGTAGTGCCCTCATTTGGGTGTAGGGTCTGATCAGAGCCTGAAGGTAAGGAGGTGCCGTTCCCCTCACAGCTCCGTAGGCAAGCACCATGGTCTTGTAGTAGATGCGAGCCTCAACTGGAAGCCAGTGGAGTGTGCGGAGGAGTGGGGTGACATGAGAGAACTTGGGAAGGTCGAACACCAGACGGGCTGCAGCGTTCTGGATAAGTTGAAGGGGTTTAATGGCACAGGCAGGGAGCTCAGCCAACAGCGAGTTGCAGTAATCCAGACGGGAGATGACAAGTGCCTGGATTAGGACCTGTGCCGCTTTCGAGTAAGGTAGGGTCGTACTCTGCGAATGTTGTAGAGCATGAACCTGCAGGATCGGGTCACCGCTTTGATGTTAGCGGAGAACGACAGGGTATTGTCCAGGGTCATGCCAAGGTTCTTTGCACTCTGGGAGGAGGACACTATGGAGTTGTCAACCGTGATGGCGAGATCATGGAGCAGGCAGTCCTTCCCCGGGAGGAGGAGCAGCTCCGTCTTGCCGAGGTCCAATGTGAGAAGCCCAAGATCAGAATACAGAGAAGCAACAGTCCACAGATCTCTCTCTTTCTCCCGCAGAACAAAGGAGGGATTGTGGGGGGGTGGGGATATGACCCCTTGCACCAATCCTAAATGTTTTGCACCATGCGGCTCCTTGTTGGTCCCTAGTATTGGCGATCTGAATGTCTCTGTGTCACAGGGACAGATTGCCATCCAAAAACTCAAAATGTCCAAAGGTGGACACTGGAACAGTATATTTCAACATCCGTATGTTGGGAATGATGAGAGAGGTAATATGGAAAATGAATGTCTATTTTGTGATGTCATTCAAACGTTCATAAAATTGTTATGATGAAAATATTGTAACTTGAAGAGCTTTCATACTGTGCATTTGAAGTTTGCATCCGTTACGTTGTGTAGGAAATATCCAGTAGGAAGAGAATATTTTTGTAAAGATAGGAAGATGATTTTGGTTCTCTAACGAAATCATAGGGTTCAGAATACTTTGCCCCAGTAACTAGCCACGCCCACAGGAGCTCAGAAAGAGTGTCCGCATGACGTAAACGCCCTCTTTACCATATTGTATAAAAGGTTGAGTTAAGAATCAACAGGGAGACTAGACGGACCTCAAACTGCAGCTAGGTCTATATTGGTCCCGACCATGAAAACCAACACTTGGTTGAAGAAGACAAAGGAGCTTCTAACAGTCAATGCTACGGCTGTGAAAATTTTCTAAGTACTGTATCTAAGAAAGTGAATTTAAGTAGGACCATCTGGCTACTCTCTTCAAATCATCATCGTCACAACACTGTTCTCATCACCCCATCGACACAGATCATCGACACGGCTGATTATCCATCCTCAAAAGATCACTCTTCCAGAGCAGGGAGAGTGAACATCACCCTGTTAGTCCACAGACTACAGAACCAGACAACTATCATCCAGAACCTGAGGAGAAGACCCCATCAAGCCCTTTACACAGAGGCCTGGGTCCAAGAGAGATACACGACCTCCAACATGTAAATACATACATTACTTCTTAACAAACGGGCGGCAGTTTGGGGCAAGGTATTAGGATTACTGTGAGTGTAGTTCCATGTGTATCCAAGTGTTCTCTCTCTCCCTCTCTCTTTAACTTGCCATCTTCTGTAACAAGTGTCATATTGAGTTAGTCCGCTAGGGACCCGTTTCCATTGTATTAAGTTTCTAATCCCTACCTATACTGTGTATGTGTTTGTATCTTGTGTTATCATTTTAATTAGCTAGTAAATAAATTATTGAATCAATTTGTGTGGTACGGAATGATCAGTAAGACCCGGGTTTGTGCAGATTTAAGGAGTCTACGACCTTCAGAATTAGACTTATGAGGTGCCATCCATTCCCCCGCTAATAAGTGAACCCTCACCCACAGAAAGACTGATCGCTGACCTCAGCTGTGATGCAAATCCAAACTATGCCGAAGGGTTGAGAATGTTAGCTCACGACCGACGCCCTCCAAAATAGACCATCAGGCACCTGCCTTGTAAATGTTCTCTCCAGTTTAGCCCTGAACTATGCCCACCAGCAGAGATGGACATTGGTCCAATACTACAGTGCCCAGAAGAAGCACGAACACGAAACGGTTGAGATGAAGGGACAGGTGGAGAGAACCAGGAAACGAATGACAAAAGCCGACAAAGACAAGTTATCTACCAACGGGAGCGCGCAACTTGATAACATCCATGCAGTTTTGATGAACGTTACTCAAAGCAATAATGTTCTAGTCCAAATGCTGCAGGCCAAGGACGATCAGTTAATAAACACAATGACCAAGTTGGATGACAAATCACCGGAACTCATTGAAGTCGCTGACCAAATGAATGATGAGAGAACCCAGGTGATGAAGATGGAAATATTGATTTCTAAGCAAGCGGAGGAAATCTCATCACTGAGTCTCTCGCTCCATTCTCATGACCTCTATCTGCAAACCATGACAGATAAGTATGAGGCCGAACGAAGCAAGTGCGACACTCAAGTGTCTAAAATAAGTACTCTAAGTGCTCAAATGGACTCTGCTATGGAGCAGAATACCACCCTTAGGTACCATCTGGTGGAATTCCTGAACAGTCACACGCTACATCATGACTACCCAGTCAAGCAACCAAGTTCGCAACCGGAGCTCAGTACAAAAAGGAGTGAAGACGACAGAAGGTTTCAGACGTTGCCTCTCTCAGGTCTCCCTCAGTCTTCTCCTGTTGGCCATTCGGCACAGAGTAATATGGCGCCTCCTCGCCAACAAAGCCAAAGCTTGGTTTCTCCTCTTGGCCTTTCGGCCCACAATTCCCCACAGGATGAAGCCAACTCTCTCCGCGCACTCGGCACGGAACACCTTGACAAACTCGTCAAAAACTTCTACCCTGTTCCAGGTAAGCCAAACAACACTGAGACGTTCCTAGCATACATATAGGACGCCTTTGATGGCTACCCGAACACTACGGATTCTGACAGGCTTTACCTGTTGAAGCGAACGTCGAATAGACACGTGACAAGGTTAATTCATATACAACAGCAACACGTGCAAAACGACTACGCTAAACTTGCCACGGCCTTGAAAATAGATTTCAGTGGTTCTGTGACTCATAAACACGACAGCTCGCTGGCTAACACTCTCAAACAAGCTCAGAATGAACACCCACAAGCTTACTATCATAGGAATTCATTCAGCTAACTTAGCCTATTCAGTGAAACAGGAATGGAAGAGCTATTACCATTCAAACAAATGTTTCTGTCAAACATGTATCCCACCTTTATTACCTACTTGGGTCCTACAGCCTACGTTGGTTTGCCAATCTCAGACCTCAGAGAGCATAACGAGCACAGCTTTTGAACCATCAAAAGTGCGCAACGCTAAGAACCCTGTCATCTCGGGTTTGAAGATTGAACAGGAGCACTCACTCCAGTTAGAGGGTGCATTATCAGGTATTGAAGCGTTGCGTGATGACACACAACAACGGTTTCTACCACGAAACCATGATACCAATACCCGCCGCGGTCAAAATAACTGTACAGTACACCGCCAGTGAAACGACTACCGCTACAATCAACCTGATTGCTACGTTCCTGCACCCAACCCACACAAAGTGTCAGGGTACAAGGGTAACAAGGGTAACAAAGGGTTCAATTACAATAAAAATTTAACAGATTCTCTCTAGAAGTTCTGCTAAGAGAAATACAGAAGCGCAAACATTTTGAGAAAGGGGAAAAAGATAAGTCACTATGATGAGACAACAGGTCTGCCAAAATTAACACCATTTGCGAGGATGTAAACAATCAACTTACTCCCACTCTCACTCAAGATCCTATCCAGGGCCAGATTGATCTAGAAACAAGCCCAAAGCCTTTGTCTATAGACTCTGACACAAAGGTTGCGAAGCAAAAGGTCAAAACATCGCAATAGCCAATTCCACTCAAAACCTGATAATTCGATCTGTTTTCACCATGAACACTAATGACACATCATGTCATTGTGAACAACCACTCCACTTTGTGGGGAATATGACCACAAAACGCAACTCAAACAGCCCATACCTGGAAACCGTCCTGGCATGCGCTAATTGATTCGGCTCGACAATATCGCTAATCTCTCAAACGTTGTTCAATGATATCAAAAGGGCTTTGAACCCAGCTAAATGTTGGTTAAAAACGGAACGATGCGATACTAAACTTTGAGGTTTCACTCAGACTACGTCAACTCTCACATTGAGAATCATGCTGAAACTACACT